CACCCCAGTCTGGGCGACCAAGTGAGACTCCAACTCAAAAAAAAAAAAAAAAAAAAGTATATGGGTCAGGTGTCGTGGCTCAGCCTATAATTGCAGCACTTTGGGAGGCCAAGGCAGGAGGATCGCCTGAGCCCAGGGGTTCGAGACCAGCCTGGGCAAACTGGTGAGCCCTCATCTCTACAATAAATCAAAAAATAAGCCGAGCATGGTAGTACGTGCCTGTAGTTCCAGCTACTTGGAAGGCTGAGGTGGAAGAATCACCTGAGCCCAGCAGGTCAAGGCTGCAGTGGCTGTGAGTGTGCCACTACATTCCAGCCTGGGCAACAGAGTGAGACTCCGACTACCAAAAAAAAAAATTCTCTACCCCAGGTCTGTCTTGGGAAACTAAGCCCTGTCTCTGCCTGTTCACTTCAGGGAGTGGAGTACCTGCCAGACCTAGAGACAGCCCGACCACTTGGGAAGGTATTGAGGTGGGAAGAGGGATTTTAAGTTCCAAATATTAAACCTTAGATTAGAAATCAGAGATTTTTTTTTGTCTGGTCTATACAATATGTTTTTAAAATTTAAATTCAGTCCAGCGGCATGCCAATGATGAGGATGGCAGAAGTCTTGCCCCTTGAGCTGCGGGTAATATGGGGTGGAGAGTGGGGGGGCATTGTCTATAGTTTTAAAATACATGTGGATTAAAAATTAGTCCTCTTTGGACTGGATAAAAAATGTGGTACATATACACGATGGACTATTATACAACCATAAAGAAAGACAAAATTATGAACTTTGCAGTAACTTGGATGGACTTCAAGTCTATACTATTGAGTGATCTATCACAAAAACAAAGAACCAAGTATCACATATTCTCACTCATAAACAGACCTTGAATAACTATCATTACACTATAAAAAGGGATTGGAGGCTGAGCTCGGTGGCTCAAGCCTGTGATCCCAGAACTTTGGAAGGCCTAGGTGAGAGGATTGCCTGAGCTCAGGGGTTGGAGACCAGCCTGGGCAACTTGGTGAGACCTCCTCTCTACAATAAAAAATAAAAAAAAAAGCCAGGTGTGGTAGCACACACCTGTAGTTCCAGCTACTTGGAAGACTGGAGTGGAAGGATGGCCTGAGCCCAGCAGGTTGAGGCAGAGTGGCCGTGACAGAGTGAGACTCTGACTCAAAAAAGTAATGAAGGAATGAAGGAAAGAAAGAGAGAGAGAGAGAGAGAGAGAGAGAGAGAGAGAGAGAGAAAGAAAGGGATTGGCAGTAATGGGAAACTGCCAGGGGAGCGGGGGACACACCTCATCAACAAGTGTACCTTGCATAATGAACATTTGTATACCTAACCCTAAATTGTACCCCACATCTTTAAAATTAAAAAAAAAATTAGTCTTCTTTTTTATTACACGTTCCAGTAATTCTTTTTAAAATGTCAGGGATAAAATGCTCCTCCCTGAAAAATATTGTATAGATCTAAACTCTAAGTTGCTGTGATCACTGTTGAGCTTTAATACTATATGTTTCCAATTAGTACATTTTTGTTACTTTTATTACTTTTTCTTTTCTTTGAGTCAGAGTCTCACTCTGTCGCCCAGGCTGGAGTGCAGTGGCACGCTCACGGTCACTGCAGCCTCGACTTGCTGGACTCCGGAGATCCTTCCGCCTCAGTCTTCCAAGTAGCCGGAGCTATAGGTGCGTGCTACCGCGCCCGGCTAATTTTTTTTATTTATTGTAGAGAGGAGGTTGGGCCGAGCCCAGCCTTTTTTTTTTTTTTTTTCCTTTTTAAGAGATAGGGTCTCAGCCGGCAGTAGTGGCTCACACCTGTAATCCTAACACTTTGAGAGGCCGAGGCAACAGGATTGCACGAGCCACAGTTTGAGACAGGCCTAGGCAGTATGGTGAGACCTTGTTTCAACCAAAAAATCAAAAAGTCAGCCGGGCGTGATGGCGTGCGTCTGTAGTCCCAGCCACTCGGGAGGCTGAGGTGGGAGGGCCACTTGAGCCCAGGGGGTTGACGCCGCATGATCCTGCCACTGCATTCCTGTGACAGAGTAAGATCGGAAAAGCTAGGGCCTTGGTGCGTATTCATATGCCGTCTTCCATTCTTTTCTAAGCCGCCTCCCCACGTGGTAGGAAGGAGCTAGAGGTTCAGCAGACCGTCAAGCGGTAAAAGCAGCCGCGCTGAGAATGAGCCCCGTGTGGTTGGCGCGCCCAGGGACGCACTGCCTGCGTAACTAGGAGAGCTGACGGATTGACGACCCGCGGCCACGCCGCTCAGCGAATTCGCGTCTTGGCGGACGGTGCAGTGGAAAGCGGGTTGGTCTGCGTGCAGACGCACGCGGCACTCTCTGCCGAAGGTCCGGGGACTTTCCCCTAGGCGGAAGGATAAGGAACCAGTCCCCCGTGCGTAGCCTAGGAAACAGGCCTTCAGCACGGCCTACCAGATGTCCTGCGGCCGCTATCCTTTTATAGACCAGGAACAAGTTTTGGATTTTAGTTAGGGTGAGAAAAGTTGTTGCAAGAGGAGGTTCTAAAAACCACTTTTAAGCATGGTTTGCTAAGACTGTAGACTTCTGAAGGCAGTGTGACTAAAAGGCTATCCAAATAGATAAGCAATAACGAATTTTAACAAGCCAAGATGATACGGCCTTATGCAAATACTCTCCGGAGTGGGCGTGGCCTCCCCGGGAGACCGGGAGCAGGACCCGCTCGTGCGGGTGCGCGTGCGCACTGGGGCGGGCTGCCGTCGCCGGACCGCCTCCGCGCAGCCCCGGGCCTCCTCCGTCTCTGGGCCGGTGATGGCGGGTGCGGTCCCGCTCTCGGGTGTGCTGGGGCTGCTGCTTGTGTCTGCGCTGCCGGGCGTCCTCGGAGACCGCGCCAGCCCCGACCTCCGGGCACACCCAGGTACCAGCGAGGACTGCTGGAGGGGGGCTGGGACTGCCCACGGCTCCCAGGCCCCCGCTCTGCTGACGCGCCTCTGCCCTCCCTCCGCAGGGAACCCAGCCGGTGTCGGCCCCGGGGCCACGGAACCCCGGCGGCGACCGCCGCTCAAGGACCAGCGCGAGCGGACCCGGGCCGGGGCGCTGCCTTTAGGGGCGCTCTACACCGCAGCCGTCGTGGCTTTTGTGCTGTACAAGTGTTTGCAGGTGCGGGACGGCCGAGGGTGGGGGTGCCCTGGGCCTGAATCTCCCTTGGGAGCGCTATGGTACCAAGAGCAGAACAGCTGAAATGAAGACAGTAATTCCTGCCAACATTCTGGGATTATTCTCAGGATCCAGCGAGGTGATGGATGTGAAGGGCGCATGGTAGATTGTAAATCAATAATGACCATCACATTTAGTCATTCTACAATCCAGTGAAGAGTAGTCACTTAGAGGTCACCCAGAGCTAGTAACTGGTGGGGCTGGGATTTGAGCCCAGCTCGTGTCCATACTACAAAAGGGCGGATCCAACTCTGGCACAAGTGGCTTAAGGCCGCAGCCACACCACGGTGTTTCTAGAGTTGAAGACACCAAACAGTCTCATGTTCTTCTTGGGAAGTGGGTCTCGAAATGTGAGATTGTTTTGTTTTTGAGTTGGAGTCTCACTCTGTCACCCAGGCTGGAGTGCAGTGGCATGCTCACAGTTACCGCAGCCTTGACCTGCTGGGCTTGGGTGATCTTTCCGCCTCAGCCATCCGAGTAGCTGGAACTACAGGTGCCCACCACGCCCGGATAATTTTTCTCACCAATTTGCGCAGGCTGATCTCGAAGCCCTGGGCTCAGGCAATCCTTTCACCTCTTCCTCCCAGAGTGCTGGGATTACAGGCGTGAGCCACTGCGCCTGGCGAAATGTGAGTTAACGCCACATTTTGGTGGATTGAAACAGTTGAGATGAAAAGTAGTACTGTCCAGGATTGCATCTTCAGTCCTGACCTTATCACTTACTTGTATTAGAAAATACAGGGTCGAACTAATTTGGATATATGAAATTAGACAAAACAGCTAATAATGATCCCAGGTGGACTTGACAGTCTAGGATGGAGGATTGAATTTAATGATGAAATTGAACAAGGGTAGATTAATAAATTGTATTCTTGGACTCAAGTACAGTCTGGACGAAACATAACCTACCAGCAGCTCTTATGAGTCTTAGGCATTCTAGTTGACTAATAGGTTTATTTTGTCATGTGACAATTCACTTCCCATACCAATGCTAGGAACAAGGTAGTGTGCTTTATCCGCTGATCAGAATACTCCTGGAGAATTTTCACCTCGGGAACTGCTTCAAGAGCTCTATGAACTCAGTAAAGCAAGAGAAAACCACGTGAAATGGGCACTGACCGAAAGGATTGAAGATGTTAAACCAGAAATGTCTCAAAAGGGGTGGGGCATGACTATTTTCTTCAAATTCCTGAGGGGCTACCATATTGAAGAGACATTACAGTATTTTGGAAGGCTCCAGTCAACACTATGGAAAGACAATACCTGAAGGACAAATATGGCTTTGTATTTGAACTAACAACCAGGGCTTTGATCAAACTGGAGAGTTGCTCATTCCTGGAGGCGTTTCAGCAGACTGAATGATCATGTGTGGGGTGTATTGACATGTTGCTTCATGTCCTGGGTGAGGAGCTAGACTAGAAGTGATTGTGATTCTCTGAGGTAAAAACCGAGTAGCTTTCTGTATCTCAAAGCATGTGCCTCTCCTTACTGGCTTTGGAGATGGAAGGGATGGAGCCGAACTTTGTTGCTGCAATACCGCCCTTTCCTTCTTCCACGACAGGGGAAAGATGAAGCTGCAGTTCTCCAAGAGGAGGCAGGCAAGAAGCAATCATTGCAGTCAGGTGGGTTTAGCAGAAGTCTCTGCTTGGTGGGGGGAGGTTGGGGGACAATAGAGGTCACCTCCTTTTCTTCCTTATCCCCAGAGCAACAGCTGACCCAGTTAACACAACAGCTGGCCCAGACAGAGCAGCACCTGCACAATCTGATGGCCCAGCTGGATCCCCTTTTTGAGCAGTAAGGAGAGCAATGATCCTGGGAATTTGTGGCAGGTGGGGGAAATGGGGACCTAGATTGGCCAGCCCTAAGTGGACATTTCTGCAGTGTGACTACGTTGGCTGGAGCCCAGCAAGACCTTCTGAACGGGAAACTGTGGACAATCCACCAGCTGCTAAAGGACAGCAAGACAAGCAAGGGTGTGACGCTCCCAGAACCAGGTAAAGGGTTGGGAGGTGAGTCTGGCAGAGGTGGAGACAAAGCCTCTAAACCTGGAACATGCCTGATCTTTCCCCTCACAGAGGCCAGCACACCCTTTCCTCACAACTTATGTATAGAGGAAGATGAGGAGGAGACTGGTGACAATCAGGTCTGGGAGGAGCCCGTACACTGGAGCACAGAGACACGGAACCCAGCTACTTCCTGGGAAGTGGAGCAAGGGCTAAGGAGAAGATGCAGAAAGGCTGTGGCAAAAGGCCCCAGTCAGAGCCCCAGCCAGGAAGGAGGGACAACAGCTGAAGGTTTAATAAAACAAAGTCTGTTCTTGTAACTGGGTGCTCCTGTGTGCTTTTTCCATCCCAGCTGGTTATACACACCCATACTAGGTGCCTAAGGACAACTGGGCCTCCTTGAAAAGCTTCCCTTATTAGGACAAAAAGAGGGAGGCTGTCTTCCAGTGTGAGAGCAGAGAAGACAGAGGGAGCTCCAGTTCTTTTCCTTGTATTGCTGAGGCCACCAGCGTGCAAGTTGAAGACTTGTTCAAAAATCCCTTTTCTCATAGCAAAGCTGAGACAGAAAAGTCTTTCCAAAAACAAAACAAAACTTTATTCAAATTCAGTGGGAAAATAAACTGTAGAAACTATACATAATAATAGCCATATATACAAAGCTGCAACCTTGACAAATGACTGGCCACAGACACAGTCCCAAACCCCCTCACATCTGTGTTAGGGGCTGGTTCAACCAAGGTTCAACTGAGTCAGACCTGGTTTCCTGATTCTTAAGAGCTGATCAAGTGACCCAGAGTAGCTTGGTCCAGGCAAACACAAATGACCCCTGTCAAACCATGAAGGGCTCTGTGTTTTGTTTAGTACTGAAGAAAATCCTTTTGTACTTCTGGCTCTGACCTATCCTTGAGGTATCCTGAGTTCTGGAATTTGTGAGATTCCTCTAGTTCTTCTGGCTGCTGTGGAGAGAAGACAGTTCAGGCACTGGCATGAGCACTCTATTCAGACAAAATCACTCATGGGGCTTGAGGAGGGTGCTGTCCCAAGCAGATGTAGGGCATGAGATGGGATCAGAACTGCTTGTTTCCAGCTCCTAGGTCTTATCACTGCATCCTTCCCAAGGGAAGGCACAACTTACCTGATAGCATGAGTCAGACTGTGGTACCAGTGTGACAGCTCCTTCTGGTCTGTGGACATAAGCAGTAGCTTCTCACGAGGGAAGGACAGCTAGGGAGAAACCACCTCTTAGTGCATGGCTCAGAAAGGTCCAGGTTAAAGCTGAAGCCCTTGTTTCCATGGTGATAATTCAGGGGTGAGACAAGAACTAAATATGAAGCCCAAGCCCCAGGACCTCTCTCAGTGTAGGTGGTCCTGTTGCTATGAAATGGGACCCAGGCCAAGGAGAAAAGCTGGTATATAAGCATTTGAGATACATGTTGGGCCTAGGTTTCCCACCTATTACTTACGCTGAGCAGTCCACCACAAGGGCCTCCTGAGTGGCCAAAGACCCTGCGGAGTTGACACTGGGCCATGGGGTAGAGGGCCTTGCAGGCAAAGGTGCCACTCTGCAGCAGGTGCAGCGCAGGTCGAGGCTTGGCCATGAGGAGCACATCAGCAAAGAGGAAAAACATGCGGGGCCGAGGATCCCCATGGGGAGGCACCACCAACAACCATCCCTGGCGGAGGAACCAGCGTCCTGGGGGTGGGAGAGCTGTTACGCTGGTTGATGCAGCTACAGGATCCATGGTGACAGAAGGAAAGGGAGGCCAAGAAAATAGGACATACGTGCTGGGACTATAGAGGAAGAGAGGTAAGAAAGAGACAGTTGGGACTGGGGGAAGTATGCAGACTACCTGAGGTAAGCCCCTTTGCCTGGCGTCCACTGAGCAGAGCCTGGACACGCCGGAGGTGCTGGTCATTCTTCTGTTTCTGACCAATGGCATGGACTCTCTGGGCAGTCTCACTTATCAGTCGGGCAGCTCCTGGAATAATATCCCCCGCCTCACTCCCAACACAACTTTGACTTTGAATGACATGGTGGTAAAAGACGGGCTATTCTGGAGGGGACCAGGGTCAGGGTCTGACTTCTTGAAGAAAAGGCAGGCCAACAGGAACATTATATACATGTCAGTGGGAGATAGGGACATACCAGATATTGTTGGAGGTCAGAATCAGAAAGGGATACAGGAGAGGAAGCCTCCAGGCTGCATTGAGAGAAGCAAGAACCTACGTGTGAGCTGTTGGTGGTCAGGGCTGTTGGGACCTGTATTTTCAGCCAAAGCAATGATGAGATTCTCATACCTGGAATTGGACAGTAGGAAGCTTATGGGGGAAGCAGAGCCAGGCAAAATTCCCCCTGCCTGACGCACAGATCATCTCATCCACAGACTTCAGTTACTAGGAAGATCTGCTTCTGGCTGTTGTATCCCCCTCTTTCGTCTGGGACTAGAACTTGGGTTCACACCACATGGCCCTTTTTCCATCCCACACTGAAGAATCAATGGCAGACTGACCATGGTTCGGGAGGCCAGATCAGAAACTGAAGGTTTATCAACCCAAAGAGGATGCTTCATCCTGACTAGCCCTTAACTGAGGGACAGAAATTCTCAACCAGGCCAGCCCTTCATCTCAACACACTTTTCCAGATGCCCTGTCTCAGGCCCTAGTACAAGACCCGACCCCTCACTTCAATATAGAGTTCCACAGTCCCAGCTAAGGGCCTAAGGCTGCAGGTACTGGGTACTCCGCTGGATTCACATTTACTCTCGTAAATTGTTTTTAGAAGCAATTTGGCTCAGGGAAGAGGGTAGGGGGGTTGGGATAGACTCCAAGGCACAAAGCTGAGGACAGCAGTTGTAGACTTAGGTTGGCTGGACTCAAGGGGAGTTTACTCACTGCTGGAGTCGCTGCAGAGGCAAAGGGAGCAGGTCCTGGAGCTGAAGGCCCGCAAACTCAGGACGGCCTTCCTGAAGCCTCACGAACCTCCGGAAACCTTTGTTTTTCTTTAGCTGCTCCTGGAATGAGGGGGAAAGGGTTGGCAGCAGGGAGAGCAGTCACGCCTTATACTGCATTCATCTGTGTTCACATTCCAAGCCTCCAGTAAGCTGTGTGCTCCAAAGAGAAACCCTGTCTCCCAACGGGGAACTTAGCACACAGCTGGACACCCACAGGGAACATATAACTGCAGGAAATGTATGAATAAAGTTTGGGTCTAGATAAAGAGGAACTGTAAGAGGCAAGAGAGAAAAAGGGGACAGACTTGAGGTCATGTCCACATTACCAGCAGGGTGGTCTGGGACCTCTCTGCGTTGGCAGCAAATTGGGTATACAGCTCCAGGTGGCGGCAGAAGCCCTCCAGCCCTTGACCCCAGTATCCTCCTTCCAGGTAGGGAAGCAGCTCCCTGTGTGGGCGAGGACAGTAAAAAGGCAGCCCAAGAACTTACTCAGGCACCACCTCATTTAATTATCTTATGAAAATTAACAGCTATTACCCCATTTTACAGATGGGGAACTAGAGCAGGTCAAGGCACTGGGCCAAGACCACAGGTGAGGTAATTGGCAGTCTCCGAATATGAACCTGAGTCTCTCTGACCCCAGGCTCTGCGCCCTGGCGGAGGTCAGAGCTCTTCCTCCGTCCCTCTCCCCGCGCTGTTTCCACTCACTGGCTAGCGCCGTAGATGAACTCCCAGGACCCAAATAGGGCCTGGCGCAGTGGTGGTCGCAGGGTCCCCTTGGCTTTCAGGATCCCCAAGAAATACTGCGGAAGGGGACAAAATTGGTATCTTGGCCTGGGAGAAGCGAAGGCTACGGCCAAGGACCAGCCGGGAACTGCAGAAGTCTGCCCGAACTCTCTCCATGCACGGGGCTAGTCCAAGACCGCCAGATTCCAGGTCACCGACCTCGCAGAGGCCCTCCCACCTTGGGATCCCTGCCCCATACGGGGAGGATCCACCGGACCCCCACCGGCCCCCACCGTGGCCACCAGCCCCAGCTGTTCTTGGTAGCGCCGCTCGGTCTCCAGCAGCTCCCGGGCGGTGCAGGCGCGTTTCCGCTCCCAGCGGGCACGCTGCTCTTGCACTGGGCACCGCGCGCCG